GAATTAATGTCCGAGTCGTTGCTAAGGTAACAGTCTGCAATAAACAATGTTTCAAATGCGTATTACTTATAAGTGTAAGCGGCACAACCACTAAAACCGGATTATTATCAATCTGTTTATTAGCTGTTTGGTAAGAGATGTCTGGAAGTTTAGGATGAGCAATTAAGTTTGCTGACGTCCCTCTATCCGTAGAATAGTTCTTATGATTTAAATATGTCTCGTGAGGAACAGTCATCACGTACACGTTCCTGGCGCTCCCTCTAATGGCACCCCCCCCCCCCCCCACTTTAATGGCACCCCCCCCCCCCCATATCGGGGTCTGCGGGGCCCTTTGTTAAGCCACTGCACGTACACTCGTATAGTCTCTGGGAGTGATCACGCACAGAATCTTGAAGATAAGTTTATGGAGTCCTCGCTGCCCTAAATTCTCATTATTTGTCGTCATATCAATCAGGTTCATAATAAGTGATAATAGGTTTAGAATTTCTTATTTTCTGATTATTCGAACCTAGGTTTTAATCCAAATTCCAGGTCCTATCTCAAATCGGTGGTTCGAGCTTTTTAACTTGGAATATTTTGATCGTCCATTATTCGTGTGTGAATCCATTCATCAGTAATTTACTTGCGGGACACATTTTTTGCATTTTTGGTCGTCGTAACCTTAATTTGTGACTGGATCACTCACTCATCTCTGATAATCTCCATGAGTCCGAAGAGCAACTATAACTACCTGGAAACGTGAACATTATATGTATTTTAGATCCGACTTTAAATCTATTGACCTCAATGAGGTCACAAAAAAATTCCCAAGAGTCTTATCTCTTGTTACTCAGTTGTTCCTGTTTGGAAAGCGGCCACTCGGCTTCACACTAATAGAATTTAGGTTGTCAAGGTAACTGTGATGGTGGTAGTATGTTTAAAGTGGATATTATATCAAGACGAAGGCTGTTGTAAGACCTCAACTGCAGTGACGTCAAACAATTGTTTTGCTGGCACCACGTCTCTGCGTATTGGCCTTGTCATGGTCCTCAACTTCCACTTTAAGTACTTATTTATCTGAATATTTTATGTTATTCAAGATGTGAGGCTCAAGGTGTAAGGCTGCTCACATTGTGAGCAGCCTTATTTCGTTTCATTTTCGTAAATTGTGGTAAATTTTCTCGCGTCTCCACGGCTTGTTATCTGAGGTTGATTATATTAGGATTTAGTCTTCTTAAATCTCAATTATTGTTTCAGTGTTATAATCTGAGCTAGAGGCCCATTTACCTTACTTCTAAAATTTTGGTTGCTATAGAGGCCACCACGCGTTAGTTCTTAGCAAACTCAGATTAAGTTATACTTATAACGAGTTCATATTTAGTTGGCTGTTTCTCAACATTTACTTGAGAATAAGATATTCCTATAACTCAGCGTAATAATTTAATATTTGCATTTATCCGAATTTATATTGTTTCAACAAAGAACCCCTGCACGATATATTATCAATTCTCCTGGACAGCACAATGCGATTATTGATTGATATCATGCCAGCTGGACGATCAATAATCATCACAAGACTGGAGATCTCGGGTGAACCTCCAAACCCAGAACTGAATTACCCCACTCTCTGACGTCATGATGGTGTTATTAGCGCGCTTGCTAAACCTACTAATTCTAGATAATCTTGTTTGGTGTAGTATTTTCTATTGATTAAAGTACCCAGAATCCTGCCGAAAAGTCCACTAACCGCAAGTGCCGTAAATATGGTAGTGGTACATTAGATTTCACGCTGTATTTTTGCAATCAGGACGCTAGTTTATTTAGTAGAGGCTCTTACGGGCATTGTCTGCTCGATACGTTAGGGACCCCAGATACACCTTACTAGACCTATTTTTGTCCGTAGAATCGATTGAAAGTGGTTTCAAGATGATTGGACTGATTGTTCTGGGGTAAAATCGCAAAAAACCGATTTTTGGGCCAAAAAATCATGTTTTTTGATATTTTGAGCAAGTTAATTTTGTTGGCATGTCGGCAAAACTTGCATAAAGATAGCTAAAAGACAGCCGCACAAGATTGTATAAAAATAAAACAAATCCCTCTATTTGTTCTGAGGTAAAAATCCAAAAAAGTGGTAAAAATTTTGACTTTTTTGCTTGAAGTTTGAATAATTTTTTGCAGTTGTATTAAATCGACCCAAAAATAGTCACATCGTGTTTGCCTAAATTTTTCCTTTCCGAGAAGTACCCACTTCATATACTTTATCGAAGTTTGAATATTTTCACTCCGCAAGCGTTTTTGCCAAATTTTCGACGCGCACTACGCGCAAAAGCATTTAGTTGTTATCAATTGGCACCCGCGCGTTCATCATAAATTTCAAACAGCTATAACTCAGCGAGATTATGTCCGTTCTAGCTCATATTTTCACACTAAATAGAAAATAATGTGATCTTATTGCTGACAAAATATGAATATAATTACTCTATTTGCCTTAGAGTAATAGACTGTCAGAGTTTAAAACGCGCATTGGTATAGCACGTGACTAATAAGGCCAAATTTATACTTCTTAACATATTATCGATCCTTAGACATCATACTATTGTGTCCAATTAGCGGTTAGGTCTCTAAACTCGTAGCAGAAAACACGTCTTTTTGCCCGTAAGAGCCTCTACTAATTAAGTTATATAGTTAGAACTTTGTTTCCAGCTTATATTTATGTATCTTGTGGGAGAAGACTTCAAAACTTCTCCGAGAGTTTTGGTCTCTGCAATTAACATTGTGTTTTTTACAACTGAGCCTTTTTTCTTTATTTTTTCGTCACGTTCTTATCATAAAGTTTTTTTGTCCAAACATGCGATGAATCTTATGTTTTTTAAAAATATATGCAACGAAGTTGTAGTTTTTAAGGCAATTTTAATCAAGTGAACCTTATGGCATCAAAAATCAAATTTCACAAGGATACCGATGCCATTAGATGATGATTTTTTAAATTTCAAAATTCAAATAAATTTGATATCATCGATATTTAGCATAGTCGGTTCGTACGCACTTAACGCACTTTCAAAACCTCACACGAAACAAGTCAAAAATACGTACGAATAAATACCGTTTTTACTTTTTAGAAGATATCGAATATTCTATGAATAATAACATTTTTTCATTATCGATATATTTTAGAGATTTAAGAAGGGGGGAGTTATGAAAGTTATCCAGTTGTCTATAAGTATAAATTAGTATATATACCAGTAATTAGTATGTGACTCTAACAGCATGTACAGTGAGTGCACTACACAGCACAGATACTAGATCATAAGTAACATATAATATATAATATACAGTATACACAGATCCCTCTTCTACCATTACGTATTCCAGGATACCGTATAAACGGTATTCTGTAACGCATGTGTTGGAGCACTATGGCATGGTAGCTCTATACAACTGCATCCCTCGTATCTAGGCAACTGCATACCTCGTATCTAGGTTACTGCATACCTCGTGTCTATGCAGTAGGCCACTCCGTCTATTTAATTGTCTGTATTTCCCATTCAACTATTCAATGACTAGCTCGATGATTAATATTTAATAGTTTCATGGTTCCGTGTGATTCATCATGGATAAGTAGAAATTAAATTAATTTCTTCGTTCGTGGTGTGATCATGAGTTGGCTTACGTATTATATGGTTAGCTGTAGAAATACAGCTGCATAAAATTAAACATATAAGTAAAACGTTCGGATTAGCTGACTTTTTGTAGAATGCAAGCATTTTCCTACTTTCGGTATCCTGTTTGTGTACTTAAGGTTACCTTATATGGGCATCACGCGAAGTGCAATGAAGCCGCCTATGTAAAGATGTAAAGAGCAAATTTCCTTCTTTGAGTAGCCATTTCCTGTGCCGATCATATCGTGAGGCTATTTCCTTTTGTAGATCAATATTTTAGTTGTTGGTTTGAAACAAAACAAAACGTTCTGAGTTTTTCTAAAGTTTTTCTGCTGTCAAACCAAACGCTCTCTGCTGAAGTGTTTTTATTCTTTGTAATTTTTGTAGCAAGCATACGTTTATTCTTGTGACCTTGAAATGTGTGACTGTCAATATGATACTAGTCGCCTACCTTAAATAACAAATTGAACTTTCGTCCTTTTTTATTGTTGTTGATAAACATTTGAGCATTATAATTGCTGACATGCTTGTCCATTTTCCTATAATAAGCCAAAATTAGTTTGCGGTAAGGCAAATTTAACTCTACGTTCTACAGAAAACAAAAGAAAAAGAGAAATAAAGCTACAAAAGTTAAAGATACGCTTGTGACGTGAAATGATATCTAAACAGACACCCTATTGTTCTGTGAATCTGTACGTGCACGTTACCATGGTAACACGTGACAAACGTGACCCCCTCCTGTGTACGTGCACGCTACTCCCTCCTCATGTCACACAATGACTCTTAACAAACTGTCGCCCCTCCTCCTCCCCTCCTCCTCTGCTCTCTTTCATCAGACTAGCTACACAATATGTTCACCACTTGCACTGACACCGAGCAATGGTTTCCACTCTTGAAATCCACCACAATGGAGCGCTGAATATGGCGCCACTTATTTCTTGATTGCTTTGTATAATTGGTCCCATATTATTCACAAGCTGCGTTCTTCTGAGTATACTCCTCCAGCATCCTCCAGCCTCCTCACGTGATGCCCATATAAGGTAACCTCGTCCAGTCTCAAGCCGCAGCACTTTGTGTTTCTGAATCACTACTTGCGTCACAATGGCCATCTCTTTTAAACTTACCTCCACGGTCTGTAATATTACCTTTAGTTTCATATTGAAGTCGTGTGATTAGTAACACTTAAAACTTTTTATTTAGCGATCCTTTTTGGCTGATCGGCCATTTATAGCACTACATGTGAAATGTCTTATTCAAGATTTTCCATTACTTGTTATTTTTATTAGGGCTGGGAAAACTGGGTGACTTTTTGCTGCAGCGCAATTTGTATATGCTTCTTAATCACAGTTATATCTCAAGAAAGCAAAGTGATACAGAAGTTGCAAATGCGTTCAACCATCTGGATATGGTATATCCTTCTTCTCGGGAGCGCTGTAGCAGGTATTTTCATTACTAATTCCAACCTTTTCTTTGTTACATTTCACATTTTGAAACTAGTTAATCATCTGTGTCCACTGATAAACTTAGATTGAAGGTGCATAATATAATTTGATAAATTAAGGCAGTACCTTTGTTAACAAACTTGTTAAAGCATATACTAATGCCATCCCATAACTTCTATATGATGTTTCCAACGTTTTTTAGCAGGAACTGTATTCCTAATTCAAACCTTTTCTTTCTTATTACCAAACTCTTTTAATATCATAGCGGGTTGAATTATGACCGTTAAAATCTGACAATTTGAAGTCAGTTAATCTATCGACTGTTAAACTTAAAATAAATAGCTATATCAATGATGTTAAAAACTGATAAACTTATACACATAGTTGTATAATGTTGAAAACGTAATGTTTACCGATATAACTAACCTTTAGTACACTCCACAGAGCTCCAGTGTGAATGGGAGTACAAAGACAAAGCCTACTTGGGTGGCTGGGCTATCGGGATTACTCGAGCCCAGAAGTACCCTACTCTGGAGGAAGCTCAGAAAGTTTGTAAGACTCTTGGAGATAACTGTGGTGGGGTCACTTTCTGGGGCGGCGGGTAAGTTTATCAGTTTTCATTACTTTTCTTTGTGCGGTTCAATGTGTTTTTTTTTTCATGTGCCTTAAATTTGAGGAGCTTTTTAATTTATTCTATTAATGCTTTTCATGCAAACAAGTGAAAACAAATCTTTTATGTCATGTTTCCAGGGTTTGGACTGGAATTGCCCGCTTAAAGAACTTCCATCGCGTTACATTACATAATTTTCTCAATAAATGTAATAGATTTGTAGTGTTGTAATTAGTTTAAATTGAAAATATTCTATATTTCAGCTACACGTGCAGATCGAATAAAGTGTTTACAGCTCACGGCTCTGAGCAGAGTTGGCGTAAAACATGCAGTGAGAGCCTTTCTCTTTCTTTATTCCTAGTTTCTGTTTCTTTATTTCTAGTTAACAATTAACAGCTAATAGAGTGAAAATAGATATTATCATAATTTTACGACGATCCAGTAGTCACTTGATAATGTTTACATAAGGTGAAGCCTCGCTATGTTGTGATATTTGCGTGCCGTTTAATCCGTGGGAGTACTCTTTTGTACTACAAAACTACAAGATACTAACAATAACGATTAATAATTAAATATCATAGACAGCAATATAAATGTGGCAGTACTGTTAAACCGTATATCAGTGGTCGCACATCCTCAGACAGACTATAATGGTCTGACTTATAACACGTGTTTTCAGTGGGAGTGCCTCTGTTCAGAGTGGGCAGTATAACACCAACCAAAGGTAGCAGAGTTGGAGGCAGTCGCGTCACCATCAGCGGACAAGGTTAGAGATTATCATTTCCACGTCTATCTGATTTTCAGCTACATCTATGAAATAGTCAAAATAGTTTTTTTTTTTCGGTTTTTATGCTTTCTAAAAATCACACTCTGTAGGGTTCAGTACGAACCAGTTCGGGTATGATGACCCCTCCCTGGGGAACAAGGTAACATTCTACCACAAAGACGAGACCTACCCGGCCGTCCAGTGTCATGTCCAGACTTACTACACTTCCTCTACCAGAATCGTCTGTGATTTAGCGTAAGTTACACTATAGTCAGTAACCAATAGTAACCAACAGTAACCATAGTAACCAATGTGACTAACTAACGTGGTTAGTCACGTGATCACTGATAACATTTGAATACAGGATCCCAATATTGATCCTGTTCGAAGGTTTTCTCGGCTTGGCAGTTAGCCAAGTGTCAAGTTGGACAAGTGTCAAGTTGGACAAGTATCCCAAGTTGGACAAGTGCCAAATTGGACATGTGCCCCAAGTTGGACAAGTGTCCCAAGTGTTAATGAGTCATATTAACACTTTTATGAATTTTCTTAATGCCAAGAATATCTGAGAAACTTGAATCATTTCAATAAACAATCACCTCAACTGTTCGGGTACCCAAATATTAAAGTTAAAATATGATAATATGATTATCGACGGAGAATTAACACTTGCATCAATTGCCTTCTTGTCAAGCCAGGATGCCTTATTGTCTAGCCAGGATGAACTCAGAAACTTGAATCATTTCTGCTGTTAAACTTATTAAAACCCGCCTAATCGTTTAACAAAGCAACAAGGTGCCCTTATTGAAGTTTGGAGTACAATTATTGATAAATATTTTAGAGGAATGCACCTAATTGTTCACACATCTGCCGGTATTTATTGTTGGTATTTTATATTTTAATATTTACCGGGTTGTTTTTGATTTAGGCCAAAACATTACCTTCGGAAGCGGAAATTTGTCATAGGTGGTTGCTAAATCGTATTCGTGAGTTTAGAATGAAATTTTAATGGCAGAGATTAAATACCCAAATAAAAAGTCAAAAACATTTCATGTGTAACCGGAGCAAACAATTAATAAAATCTTGAACGATTGTAGCTATTTTGTCTCAAATCACATAGGCAGAGGAGACTACGTTAAGCTTACACTTGGAAGACGAAATAACTGATTTGTCATCCAATCGGGCTTGATAAATCCAGAAAATATGATACAAATGTGGTTAAACTCGTTTAATCAATTATCATCAGAAGCGAACTATTCGTTGTTTAAAACAACATTATAAATGTAAAACATTTTGTATATACCATTAAAGAGTCGAACTACATAGGTGAATAGGTAGGTAACTATTGAATGCTGGTCCACACACTTATATAGAAAGCAGCGAGGGACTTTTCTTTCTTAATTTGTGTTCACTAACGCGGCACTCATAAAAACAGGCACTCATAAAAACAGGCACTCAATAACACTGCACTCAATAACACGGCACTCAGTAACACGGCACTCAATAACACGGCACTCGATAACACGACACTCAATAACACGGCACTCAGTAACACTGCACTCAATAACACGGCACTCAATAACACGGCACTCAATAACACGGCACTCTATAACAAGGCACTCAATAACACGGCACTCAATAACACAGCGGCACTCATAAAAACAGGCACTCATAAAAACAGGCACTCAATAACACTACACTCAATAACACTACACTCAATAACACGGCACTCAGTAACACGGCACTCAATAACACGGCACTCGATAACACGGCACTCAATAACACGGCACTCAGTAACACTGCACTCAATAACACGGCACTCGATAACACGGCACTCAATAACACGGCACTCTATAACAAGGCACTCAATAACACGGCACTCAATAACACGGCACTCAATAACACAGCACTCGATAACACGGCACTCAATAACACGGCACTCTATAACACGGCACTCGATAACACATCACTCGATAACACGGCACTCGATAACACGGCACTCAATAACACGGCACTCAATAACACGGCACTCAATAACACGGCACTCAATAACACAGCACTCATAAAAACAGGCACTCAATAACACGGCACCCTCCCAGGAAGCCAGACGTGTACTGGAAAGACTATCTTGAGTACCGTATGAGGATCTCAGTGGACGGTACCTGGATGGATAGCACTGGTACTAACATCTACTGTGGAGGAGCCTGTACATACTACGTGAGTTTTACTAAGATATTTGGTGTTTAAGTTCTTTAGTTTTAGTTCTTTAGTTTTAGTTTTTTAGTTTTAGTTCTACAGTAACCTCCTTTCCTTTCTCCTAAAAATATTTTAAAAAGAAAAAATGTGTAGCTTAATATCACTTAATTCCTTCCGATAAGGTGATATTTGGTTGATCAATTTTAACCATTTACATTCCTACGTAAAAACATGGAAAAGTTGTATACCTTAGTCGGTAATATTATGGGGGGTCTAATTTGGTCCTTTTCGGGCCAAAGAACCATGTTTATAACAGTCCATATTTTTAACACCCATAATTTCCCCCCCCCCCCCCCCCCCCCCCATAATATTACCGACTAAGGTAACCATTGTTTCATTTCTCTTGACTTACCTCTCCCACTCCCCCCCACCCCCCATAATATTACCGACTAAGGTAACCATTGTTTCATTTCTCTTGACTTACCTCCCCCCCCCCCCCATAATATTACCGACTAAGGTAACATTGTTTAATTTCTCCTGACTTACCCCCCTCCTCCCCCAGTTCCACAAAGACAACTCCCCCTACATATCCTCCATCACTACAAGACACGTGGCAGCCGGCTCCGTCCTGACCATGACCGGCAGAATGTGGACTGATAACTTCGAGCCGAGTAACGAGGTGTCGAGTGGTAGTGACTACATTAAGAGGGTGTACCTGAACGCGTTTACTTGCGATACTAGTGACGACAGTGGCAACTCGTGAGTGGGGGTTACCTTTTTGGAACGACCTTTTCTATTTAGATACCGAATAGCTTTAAACTGTCAACTTCTCTCATTCTAAGTTCGGTTATACAATTTAAGTAATATATTATGCATATCATTAGGTTTTAATTTTTATTAATATCAGTACTGAGAACACTTCACTGAATAGCCATTGTTTGGTTTAATGTAGCACTTTTACTCGTTATTGTCACACAAAAGTAAGTATTACGTATATTCCCAGGTACGGAACAGATCTTGTTAAGGATGGTAACGGTGATGACACCAGTACAGGTAGTCTCATGTGCAAATCAGAGAGTCCAGGTGCCACCAGCTACCGGCCCTCCTTCCTCCACTCTAAATGGGGCAGGTAATGGTAACCTAGTAACCTAGTAACCTAGTAACCTAGTAACCTAGTAACCTAGTAACCTAGTAACCTAGTAACCTAGTAACCTAGTAACCTAGTAACCAGCTACCGGCCCTCCTTCCTCCACTCTAAATGGGGCAGGTAATGGTAACCTAGTAACCTAGTAACGTAGTAACCTAGTAACCTAGTAACCTAGTAACCTAGTAACCTAGTAACCTAGTAACCTAGTAACCTAGTAACCAGCTACCGGCCCTCCTTCCTCCACTCTAAATGGGGCAGGTAATGGTAACCTAGTAACGTAGTAACCTAATAACCTAGTAACCTAGTAACCTAGTAACCTAGTAACCTAGTAACCTAGTAACCTAGTAACCTAGTAACCAGCTACCGGCCCTCCTTCCTCCACTCTAAATGGGGCAGGTAATGGTAACCTAGTAACCTAGTAACGTAGTAACCTAGTAACCTAGTAACCTAGTAACCTAGTAACCTAATAACCTAGTAACCTAGTAACCAGCTACCGGCCCTCCTTCCTCCACTCTAAATGGGGCAGGTAATGGATACTGGAAATCTTTAAGATCTTTAAGTTTGATATAATCTGACTATTAGTTTTCCATTAGTGAACCAAAATATACTTGAAAATTATGAGACAATTTTTTCAAGTGCTTCTCTTCCATTATCAGATCCGAAGTACGAAATAATGTGAACAGAGTTGATGCTTACATGCAGAAATATGCTTTTCAGACTTACAACGGTATGTAAAATCCGGATTGGGGTATTGTTTATGAGTCGCATGGCTGCAATGTATTCTTGTGTAAATTTGTATTGATCCCGTTTGATGCGACAAGGATTCCTTCCCTCATAAGAGTATTTTTCCTTGTCGCATCAAACGGGATCAATACAAATTTACACAAGAATATATTACAACGGTATGTGTTGGTGAGATTCGTAAAATCATAATTAATCTAGTGAAGGTCCAAATCACGAATGTCATATCGTGACATTTATTATACGACGTGTCCATGGAAACTCACTAAATAAAGACAAGTTGCTGCCATAATTTTAATGTATGATTGATTTTCTGTAAGCTAGAGCGCGTTTGTAAGTCATGTTTCTCATCATAAGTATATCAACTTATCAATGACGAGTTAACTTTCCGACTGCACACAAATCATTCATCACTAACGAATCTAAAGATGATCTAAACCAATTAGATTCTAGATCTAAGTCGTATTACTTTTATTAATGCTTTTCAAACAAAGTTACAACGAATTCTTCATGTCGTGCATCCTGGGTTTGGACAGGATATGCCCGCTTAAAATATTTCCATCACGTTATACATTACATAATTCTCAATAAATGTAATAGATTTGAAGTGTTGTAATTAGTTTAAAACTCTCAGAAATACCCATTTTGAGCAAGATGAATCCAATGAGCCGTATTGTCCCGTAAAACCTGAAGTAATTTATCAATATTATAAAACCTAAACACGCTATAAGTGTGATAACCTTATTTTCACATCTACTTCAGTGTTGAAGAGTGTGAGCCCAAGTGAGGGCAGTACTAGCGGAGGAACGAAAATAACAATCACCAGTGAACACGTGGTCGGACCTGTCTCTAACATTGCTGCGGAAGTCGGAGGTAATCTTGCTACTTCATTTTCACATTCAAGACAGGAAAGAAAAAATGGTGTATAGCTGTGTTTATAATCCTACACAATTTGAGATTACTGGTTATAAACATTGCTGAGTAGCCGTATAACGAATAATACCACCCCCAGGTGATGACTGTAAGGTTGAGTCCTTCACATCAGACCAGATAGTGTGCTCCACACCTGCAAAACAGGACAAAACCGTCTACCCTGGAAACAGGTCTGTTAATTTACCTAACTTTTCTTTATAAAAACCCTGGAAACAGGTCTGCTAATTTACCTAACTTTTATTTATCATTTGTTTATAAAAACGCTGGTTATGGTTTAGTCAGAATAAAAACCGTTTGTCACAAGTAAAACCTACAAAATATGGTGATGGAAGGTCTGTTAACATGACATCAGTTCTGTATTCTCACAACATTAGTTACTGTAGAAAAAATAAAATGGCCAATAAATAAGTAATAAATGGTAGTTTTAAAATGTACTGTTTAGATATAGTCTTCTGGTCGGTGCCCGCCTCAAACCATGCAGTGCATCCATTGACTATTCCATATCAGTATATCACTATGACCTTGCAGTTAAAGAAAAATAGAATGGTAGGTTCATCAGAAAATCTATATAAAGGTATCACAGACCCCCTCCCCCCCCCCGTCACTACCTCCAAACCTCATCCACTTCTACCTGAGTTGTGAGATAATAGACTCGCTTAGTCACATACGTCACACATACGTCACATTGTTCCTGTGACGCAACCCCCTTTCACATTATTTCGGAATCTGAAAGGGGGTTGCAAGCCCCCTCCCCCTCCCGTCAGCCCCAAACCTCATCCATTACGAACCACTTCGCAAATGCAATGAGTTGTGCGATGATAGACTTGCTTAGTCACATACGTCACACGCTAAGTCACAAACGTCACACGCTAAGTCCTTACTCCTTACGTCACAGTTCACTGTTAAGCCACCGTGGTTAAGGAGTTGGGAATGGTTCCTCCTTTGATGTGCAAACTGTTAGACAAATTAGATCACTGTTTTAGCATCACATACATATTAGCATCACATACAGATTACAGAATAGCATCACAGATCCGGGACTCTACGGCGTGAGACTTTAACCCTAACCCTAACCCTTACCCTAACCCTTACCCTAACCCTAACCCTAACCCTAACCCTAAACCTAACCCTAACCCTAAACCTAACCCTAATCCTAATCCTAACCCTAACCCTAACCCTAACCCTAACCCTAACCCTAACCCTAACCCTAACCCTAACCCTAACCCTAATCCTAACCCTAACCCTAACCCTAACCGGAACCCTAACCCTAACCCGTTAGTTAATGCAACTCTTCAGCTTTTCAGGAGTGCATCCACTCCTGTATAGTACATAGTATAGCTATAATGTTTTGAACACGAAGGGAAACACACAACGTAAGGCTCGAAATCATTAGAGCCTGTAAAAACATTTAATTTTAAGATAAGCACTCTATCAAGTAAAATTCATATTATATAATCATCATAGTTTATTAAATCAAACGTAAAATAGTATCTTATATTTGATCCTTCGAACAGCTGTTGAGCAATGAAACGCAAACATAATCTTAGCAAAATGAGTATAGCTGTATTACAGCTTTACAGGGGCTGGTAATAACAATAAGCTAATAAGCAACTGAATCGAAAGTGAAATATAGCTTATCCCAGGGGCGTGACTGTGGAGTACTGGGCAAAGGAGAGCAACAAATCAACAAGTGATGCGCGGGGGCTCGACGTAGATCTGATCAGAGAGTTCAAACAGGACGCTGATAACTTCCTGTTTGAGAAATTACACATGGATTCCAGACCAGATTCCTTGAAAACGTGAGTAACATGGTTAGGTTATTCAAAAGTTTTGATGGGCATTTGGACACCACAAATAGGAGGAATTCTTTCTTGTATGAAATTAAACATCCCTGAACCTGAGTGACAAAATGTATTTTTTTTAGTATAACCGGTGATAACACGGATGAGCCGTACTACGTCCGAGCCAAGTTCTTCCTCAACATCCAAGAAACAGATATGTACGGCTTCCACATGATCTCTGATCACAGTGGTAAACTGTATGTCAGCACAGATGATGACCCTGCTAACGCTGTAAGTTACTTATCAGCAAGCTCTTCCTTTATTACCTACTGAATCACTGGCTGTACCGTTATATAAGCTTTGTAGCTTTATGCCTGATGGATATTGATAAAACTAATACACGAGGGCCGGAGAGACCGGGAGAATCATAGTTTTTTATTTAATACTTTTCATATTTTACATAAATTATCATAAAACTAGAACCATTCTAAAATGGAAGTGCCATGAGAAGGTGGTGTTCGTGAGAAGTGTGATTGCTTGCGGAGATGTAATGTATACTATGTAATGTATAATATTAGGTGATAAGATAGTGGTAGAAATAAGAAGGTAATGGTACGATAGAAGAAATGTAGAACATAGAGATAAGGATCTTGATAAAACTGATACAAGAGAGTAAGAATGCTAGTTCCTCTGCATGACTATCCTTCATCACAGGTACTGCTAGCAGAGTGTGCAAATGCACAAAACAACTGGAACCTAGTAACATAGTAACCTAGTAACCTAGTAACTTAGTAACCTAGTAACCTAGTAACCTAGTAACCTAGTAACATAGTAACCTAGTAACCTAGTAACCTAGTAACCTAGTAACCTAGTAACTATCCTTCATCACAGGTACTGCTAGCAGAGTGTGCAAATGCACAAAACAACTGGAACCTAGTAACCTAGTAACCTAGTAACCTAGTAACCTAGTAACCTAGTAACCAAGTAACCTAGTAAACTAGTAACCTAGTAACCTAGTAACCTAGTAACCTAGTAACCTAGTAACCTAGTAACCAAGTAACCTAGTAAACTAGTAACCTAGTAACCTAGTAACCTAGTAACCTAGTAACCTAGTAACTATCCTTCATCACAGGTACTGCTAGCAGAGTGTACAAATGCACAAAACAACTGGAACCTAGTAACCTAGTAACCTATTAACCTATTAACCTATTAACCTAGTAAACTAGTAACATAGTATCCTAGTAACCTAGTAACTTAGTAACCTAGTAACCTAGTAACTATCCTTCATCACAGGTACTGCTAGCAGAGTGTACAAATGCACAAAACAACTGGAACACCCGGCAAACAGACGTCAACATAACCCTGGAAGCTGGTAAAATTTACTACGTAGAATTTGTTGGGGTTATGTGGAACTTTGGTCAGGACTTTGGGGTGGGAATGACGAAGAAGAACACCCCTTATCAGACATATGATGTGGATATCAGCAAGAAGGAATACCCGTACTGGTACTGGAAACAGACCTACAGTGATGAGATTCAGGTAAGGGGTCTAGTTACTATAGCAATACTGTTGTTACTACAATAACACTCTGGTTACTATAGCAACACTATAACAGTGATGAGATTCAGGTAAGGGTCGCCCGTTTAGTTCAGAGAGGATGATTATAGATCATCCTATGTATATGCTTATCTACCCCCCACCCCCCCCCCCCCCCCCCCCTAATGTGAAAAGGTAAAAATATGGTCGGATAGTTCATCTAACCGAATAACTGCAGGTGATAAACCTGGGAGAGCTAATCACAAAACCGGAGACTGGATTCAAGCTGAAGATAGGGGAGAGAGAAACCTCAGAACTCTACGCCTCCTCTACTGCTGCACAGATATCTGCTGCTATCATCGGTAAGGGAACATGAAGATTGAAGCTAATTTGGGTTTAGAAATAAGGTCCAGTCCTTCTAAATTTATAAATTTAGACATATCAGACATAAAAGACTGATATGCAAATTCTGGTAGATTTTCCCAACTTCTAAACCACCGCCCAGATACTGCGGTATACAAGTGTCCGACACTAGACTCAGCAGACAGCTGGTACAGCGTTGACTTTGAGAACGGGGATATGAGCTACACGGGTGGCTGGGCTCGCAACTACATTGAGCCTTACTGTGGCCGATGGTGTGTTCAAAGATACATATTATTTCTTGATTATGTCCAAAGATACATATTATTTCTTGATTATGTCCAAAGATACATATTATTTCTTGATTATGTCCATTGTACAAAGATACATATTATTTCTTGATTATGTTCAAAGATACATATTATTTCTTGATTATGTGCAGATGATTTTAATTTTTATTTTGAGTATTAATTGTGGATGAACCTATTAATTTCACTCTAATAACTAATAGTAACTCCTTACCTCAGGGTTGCTGTGAACAGTTGGGCTATTTTCCATGTGAAGTACGAGAAGCAGGTCTACGAGTGGGACCTCTCTAAGGGATACAAACATGTATGTTAGTGTATGTTATTGTAGGTTAATGTATGTTATTCAAGATCAGCTCCATGTTGTATGTTATTGTATGTTTATGTATGTTAATGTATGTTATTCAAGATCAGCTCCTTACTTCGGTCTTTTCAATGTTTGAGTTTCAAGGCGGTTCCCAAAACTAGACTCTGCTATCTGCATATTATACAATTCTTAAAAGTCCTTCGCGTCGTTTTTTAGTTCTTACTTCGTTATAACTTCCCTAACTTGATCAGTTACAGTTTAATAAACGCATGTTTAAATAACATCAAACACATGCCCCTTCATAAACAAATCTGTTTATTTCAGCTTTGTTTTGGTCTGATGACCAAACAGCCGCGTGTTACCCTCTACTATGAGCTGGACTATGAGGACAGTAACTTTAACTGGAAGAGACAAGGTTTCTGGAGAGGTAGCAGCCAGGAAGAAACACCTGAGTAAGTTCTGAAATCACCATGACAACATTTCTAAATCAGTAATTTGATTTGGCAAAACTTCTATAAATAGTTAGGAGATCACAAACTGGTTTAGTAATACAATTTTTTTAAATAAATTTATAAATAGTTAGGAGCTCCCAAGCGGCAAGCAGGTTAGTACAGTAAACCACAATATTCCACGACTCATGTTCCCATTCCCCAAAACTCCGCGGTAAATCGGGGTTTTACTGTATGTAGTTCTCTGCAGCTTCTGTTTTTGATTCATTAAACATACTTCAGACTGCAAGACAATGATGGAACATGGAAATATAACTGTATAGACTTTGAAAAGAGGGTAAAGGAGATTGATGCCGATCTTTGGGATTCCAGAATAGGCAATCGCAAGTAAGTTAGAACATGAAGCCTTTTCAAAGAGTCCACTGTCCAAGCTAGGATCTTACAGCAAGTTTCTGGTTCTGAGTAAATTTTCCTTCTTACCGTACTTTTATAGCTAGTAAAAATCTGTCGGAGAAGTTCTGATTCTTTCTCAAAAACAGTAAAATTAACCTTACTTTCCTTACACCACCACTGAATCCAGACATTCCAAATTAACCTTACTCCGAATTATAGATGGAAAATAAGGAGGGTATTGCTTGGCGTTGATCAGGGGAAATACGGAAGTTATTACACCGACTCGCTGAGAATCGTCCGAACCCCAGTAACAGGTGTGTGGGTTTAAGAGCTGCGGATGATGTGCTGCTAATATAAATTCAAATGGATTGGATGGATCTAACCGTATAAATTCCATCGGCCCATTCAATCTGGAGAGTTTATATGGTGGCGCATCATCCAACTCCATAATAATCTATGTTATTTTAATACGTTATACACGACCCATACCAGATGGAAGGTAAGAAGAGTGGAACTAGGCTGGGAACAAGAGAACGGTTTGAAGAGGAACCGGGGAGCATGTAAGAAGTGGATGGAGACCATGCAGGATGGGGCCTGTATTTACATTGATGCTATCAGGATCCTACGGTCTGACGTCACAGGTCCTTATTCGCACGTGTCTTCACTGCCTTATATGGTAGTGTTACTATGGTAACACTACCATGTAAGGTAATATAATAATAGGTCCATATTCACGTGTCTTCTCTATAGACTCTCCCCTAAGATTATGTGTCATTAGTTTCAAATCTTCTTCGTTGAAATAAAAAACCTGATTTATTCGTGCCTTGATTAATAGTTTCAATTAATTGTTGATAAACGCTCCTAATTTCGATAGGAACCCGCTCTGGCAGAACGAAGCGATTAGTAAGAGAGGGTCAGTATAATCTGATTAAGTCGTGTTATTGAGTCTCATTTGATGATTCTTTCAAGAAAGTTTGTGATCATTCTGAATAGGTTCAGTGATGACAATGTTTTATTTAGTTTCATAAGAACATTGTCATCACTGTGTCTATTCAGAAAAAATCAGCAATTTTCTTGAAGTAATCCTGGTTGAAGTTGTGCATGATTGTCTTCTTCACCAATCGGTATCTGGCCGATGAATTCTCCTAGATTTTAACTTCTTGGTTTACTCTTCACACAATGATCAATCTTTGATTTACGCTCATGATCTTGATTTAAAAATCTGTTTTACGCCCACAGTGTCTTATCTTCGTTTTATAACCTTTCAACTCCGAAAAAACGTTGGTTAGCAACGAAATCTCTTGAAAACTGATTTACAGATTTCAGTAAGCCGCTCCCTCTCGTAGAAAAGGTTTTAGTTTCCTGTAGCGATTTGTTGATAAAAACATGTTCCTTTTAACAATGAATTTCGTTATTAAGTTTCCTCGCAAAGCATAGACCATTTTGCGCCTAAACATTATCTACTGGCAAGAATCGTGACTTTCTTGGTTGCTTCAGCGTCCGAGTATTGACGCGCTGTCTCCATATAACTAGAAGTCTATCAGCCATAAGTCCTCCCATTCTCCAGCGAAATGGGACAAGAATCATGACGGCCTTTTAACTGTTCTATAATCTATTTACTCTTTCATATCACTTCTCTTACTTTGTTTCACGGTTTCAACTTTGAATGATTGTTGTATGACCGAGTTGTGAGCAGTATTCTCACTTTCTGCGGGCTAAGTTAAACAGAAACCATTGTTGTACTTGGTATGCAGGAAGGTATGTATTGGAGCATGGCACGAGGAGGGAAGAGTTCAGGGTACTCTTACACACCTGAACTGAAACTGATTCTTTATCTATTATACATCTTTCTTGATTGAATTCTGTTATTTATTGTATAATCTCGCTCTAAACAATGTTGCGACGATTGTTTGGACCATCGACGCAAATGTTTGATTCAAAGCATCAGATTTGTTGGAAGATGTCTCTTGTCAAAAAAACAAACGTGATACAATTGATTTTTATTTTTATTTTTTCTCGAAAAACAATTTCTGTTTTCTTGTGAACCACCCCCTACCAGGATTGAGGCTCAAAACCTCAATAATAATATAACCTCTCAAAACCTCTAACACAAACAATCTCAGAGATTGCCCGAGTGAAAGGTTTCGCTCTAGACGGTCAGGGACTGTTGGAAGCAGCTACCGTAAAGGTAACTGATTACTGTGCTGACGGCGCTGATTGTACCACTGAGAGGACTGATGAAGCTACGGAGAGGAAGTTAGTTGCCAGCTGATATTTAATTTAATTTAATTTAATTAGTTTCATTTATCATTCATTATTCATTTAATTGGTCTTTATATTGCTTAAAATAAGTGTTATTTATAAAATGGCGTGTTTATTTATCTGTGAAAGTTCGTTAGTATTTGGATTGAAGTACATTTTGTGAATGTAGGAGTGCATGCCTTATACCATCTCAACTTTTTAACACTTTTATTTCAAAATTTAAAAAAATCATGATTTAAGGTGGGAGATAAAGATGAAGACTTACGAATGTGCTTACAACTTTCCGCTAATAGGGATAGCTGGCAAATCAGAGACAGTAGTTAAGAAAGATGTAAGTACAGTTTGAGTTTCAGGCTCAACGTTATATCTTTATATGTTCAATCAGTTTCCTTTTCATAAAGTCATTAGCACTTTCCATCATATTTTAATTTGTATTGACATTCCAAAAAACTTTTTAGACAGAGTCCACGTACACTGTGGGCGGAAAAACAGTTAATATTTTGAGAGAAGCAGCCATTACTCCAGATTTGCAAGGTCAGTGATTCTTTACGGGTTAAAGAGGTGAATTTGTTTACAAACATGTATCACCTCTTCAACCCGTCTAACAGGGGCTTAATATTAAAGTAAACAAATGTGTTTCAACTCCTTGTGAGTATCCACATCTATTGTTAGTTTTATTTTATGTGTATGCTCAGTATGAATAATGATACTTCTCCTTGATCAGCTATAAACAAGACCTGAATTATCCCCATTTTACAGGTACATTTGACGTTACCATCGATGGGACCACCCATACCAACATTGATGTCCAAATACACCCTCAAGCCTTCCTAGACATAATTAATAGAAATGGGGACTACTCCCAGGCCCATAAATGGGGCTCCTGTTATGGTATGAGAATTTGATATCATGTTACAGGGTACGGTCCAGAATTAAGTACCCAAAACCAGTCACCCGGAGTGCGAAAACTAAGGCTTAATCTAAAGGCCTATGTTATCTAAGTTATTTTTAATGGGTACTTAATTTTGGACCGCTCTGTTTACTAAGTTAAGTTTTGTTTACATTCGACTGTTCGATTACAGGAACGTTTGATTTGACTATTGACGGACACACATATGAAAAGATAGATGTGCACAGTTCTAGTAGTGCTTTGTTGGAAATAGTAAGGCAAGGTGGTGAATACTACAGAATCCACAAATGGGGGAATTGTTACGGTAAGGGATCCCCATCGTCTGAACGCCTGCTGAGCACATCATCATCAGGGCGCACTTTTATACACACCTGCTAAGCCGTTTTAAGCTGGCGAAATTCAATACACTTACCACTTGAATATCTCTTGTGAAACACAAGGTTTTATCTTGTGACTTAATTCATTCACAAGCCTGACAGCGCTAGATGCAGCTTGAATTCACTCAATAGATAAACTTCTTTAGACCCTCTGCTGTGTAAAGAAGGACTGTTCAATGTTCATCTGGAAGGTGCTTCATCTAGTGCTACAGCAATATTAAATATTATTAAAAATAAACATAAAATACCTGCTGAGCAGTTTTAAGCTGGGGAGGGTTTTCTTGCGCTGGATAGCAAAAGAGTATCAGGGAATATGCTGTTTTTACAGGGTCGCTGATCCAGGGGTTTCAAGCACTTTCTTTAAAATCTTTCATTATTTTGGAACTGAATAAATAATTTATGCAGCTGATAGGATATTATTTAGCAAGAGCATGTAAATACTAATAGTATGTATCATGCTACCATTCCGTTAGACCGAATAAACAATCCATTAAAAGTACTCTTAACCCCCCAGAGAGACACTGGCGGCTGGAGAGGAAGTACTCGGGACATCACGGCTGGCACAGTGTGGACAGCACCAATGTGGTGGGGGTTGGCGAGGTTCAAACGTTTGTTATCTTCAAAGATAACGAGCGGGGAGGTCTGGTCATGACTCCGTTATATGGGGACTGGCTCAGAACCGCGAACTCTAAACCTCAGGTGAGCTTCACACTTTCACAGCTGTTATACATTTAGATGTTTTGAAACAGTGCATGTTCAATATATTATAATGAAACCAAAACCATCGTGGTACCACAAGATAACGCGTGATAATTCAAAATAACGCGTGATAATTCAAAATAACGCGTGATAATTCAAAATAACGCGTGATAATTACCTCTTCACCAACTGTTCAGTAAAGAGACCACCTGACTATCTCTTTTGTAGGTATCAGTGAAGGTGAACGGTGTGAGTGCGTTCTGTAACGGAACGTGCGACTACACAACAAGTGACGCTAACACTCCAACAGTCGCGTCCCTCACTCCAACCAGTGGTAGGTAACCTAGCAACCAGTGGTTTGTGATATTATTATATAGTTATATTACTACAACTATTGCTATAAAGCTATATAGTAAACAGTTTTTATTAGAACGGAGTTTAAAACTTACTATTAACTAACTACCAGTATCAGTTTTTATTTTGTGATTATGCTCTTTTGCATCCAAATACAAATACACTTCTAAAATACAGTAAAATATGGAAGTAGTTTATAATTTTACCTTTGCATGAGCTTTAAAATACAGTAAAATATGGAAGTAGTTTACAATTTTACCTTACAGGAGCTTTAAAATACAGTAAAATATGGAAGTAGTTTACAATTTTACCTTCGCAGGAGCTCGAGGAGCATCTGTCACAATAACGGGCACCGGGTTCGGGACCACTAATAGTGCGGTGACAGTGACACTGGGCGGTGCTGCTCAGACTGTGTCACAGGTGACGGATACTGCTGTCACTATCACCCTCACTGATGGTGTCGCTAAACCTCACCCTGCAGCGGATATTGTGGTTAATGTAGCAGGTAAGCTGTTGATCACTCCCTCTTTTTGTGCATTTATATTTTAGTAATCATTTACCACAATTAGTACAGTTTTCCAGGCATCACCAGAGGGTTGCCACAACCCAGAGGCAGGCATATCCAGGCTATCCTCTTGTGGACCACCCAGCCTCTCTCTAGCTTATCACGTTGTTAATGTTTTCTCAGAACATGATATTGTACATGTTATACATAATTAATTAACATAATATATACGAATACCTCCTCTCTACAGGTAAAGGAAATGCTAAGGTAGCAGACAGTGTTGCATTTACTTATAGTGGCTCAGTGTCTGGAATCACCCCCGCATCTGGCGGCATTGGTGGAGGTAAGCAATAAGATCTTACTTTGTGTGTTACAATAAATACCATCATTATTGTAGTACTTCATAAGTTTATAAATAGTACTTTATAACAGTACTAGAAGCATTTTATTGTACTAGTAGTACTTTACAGTAGTTACCTGTCAGAACGCTGAAATCTAATGTAACACGTAATCTAACTTCTCGCTGTTTACACCTCACTTTACCTCACTTTACCTTCAGGTACTCTCGTCACGATATCCGGTTCTGGATTTGATCCTGAGTACGCCGGTGTTACTTTCAGTGGAACTACTGGCAGGGTGAGATACTTGTAATTCCAGTGGAAACTAATAATTAATTCCAGTAGAATGTGCAGATTAGGTGTTATTTTCAGTGTTGCACAGTTCGGTAAAAATACGTGGTATACAACACTGGTTGCTTTTTCAAGTCGGTTTGATCATAGTTGCAAAAAAATTCAATTTCATATCATTATGATCTGACAATTCATAATTATAATGAATATTTAAAGATGTAACTCAGTGAAATTACCAATCTTTTTACAGCTGGAGAGTGCGACATATACTCAAATAAAAGTATTTGCTCCTGCCGGAACTGAGGGAGCAGCAACCATTGCTATTACTGGTAGGTAACCTAGCAACCATTGCTATCACTGGTAGGTAACCTAGCAACCATTGCTATCACTGGTAGGTAACCTAGCAACCATTGCTATCACTGGTAGGTAACCTAGCAACCATTGCTATCACTGGTAGGTAACCTAGCAACCATTGCTATCACTGGTAGGTAACCTAGCAACCATTGCTATCACTGGTAGATAACCTAGCAACCATTGCTATCACTGGTAGGTAACCTAGCAACCATTGCTATCACTGGTAGGTAACCTAGCAACTATTGCTATCACTGGCATGGTTATGGTAACCTAGCAACCATTACTATCACTGGTAGCTAACATATATCCAGGTCAACAATATCCCCACATTCGCTTTAAAATTTACCCGCTACTTTTTAGTATAATACATAACCTAATACAACCTAACGAAATTTGTTACCTCACTCGAAGAACAATTAACTTTAAAATGTCAATTTATACTTCAACATCAGGTGGGACAGGTTTTGTTGCTCCGGACTCTGCCTCCCTAGCGTACTCCTACACAACTACTAACGTTCCTACTGTTTCCCAGATCAGTCCTGTTTCCGGATCTGTTGGTCAGTGCTCTCTTCATGATTATCCCTGTATATCATTGAGCCATTTAATGAATTTGTATCATTCCCCATGATTAATAACTTTTGTTAAGTTTATAACTCCTTTCGGTGCACCTTTCACTGCAGCTTAGGTGGGCGCAACCCCAAAAGATAAGATTCACGATTAACCCAATATATCATTGAGCCATTTAATGAGTTTATAACATTATTTTAAGTTCCCATGGTTAATTATTATCATCTTCCAACCGGATAGTATCCAACTATCAGTATTTCAATCATGAAACTAATAAACAGCGAACCCATCATTTGTTAATTATTTTCAGTTGGGAACACCAAGATGACCATCACTGGGACAAACCTTGGTGACATCAAAGAAGCTAAAATTGGAGATGTGGCATGTGCTAAGGTAAATAACTAATAAGACATATCATGTACAATATATTATGATGGCAAGTAGGAAAGTTATACAAAATGATATCAACGATTAAGTTTACTGAAATACTGTTTGTTTTGTAGGACGCAGATGAGACTTCTACAGAAACAAAGTACTACTGTATCGCTGGAGGGAACTCACCAGGGAAACATCTGGTTTCCTTGGAAACAAATGCGGGAGAATTCGCTCAGTCTGTTGTAGAATTCAACTACATCCTCATGGTAGGGCTCCGATACTCAGAAATTGGCAATGCTCCAGAAATAGTTGTTTTTTTTCAAATCAGAGCTTCTTCTCTAAAGATCTGTATCTTCTCAAACATTGTTTCGGAAATATTTCTAGATCTTGTCTAAAGAAACATTTTGATGAGTTTTATTCTTTCAACTAAGTGATATCTCACGACCTGCACTATCCCCAGATTCAACACGTGAGCCCTCTACAAGGATCGGTAATGGGAGGCACAGAAGTCACCATAACCGGCAATGGGTTCGGGACTGACAAGGACATGTTGAACGTTGAGTTCGGGGAGTTTGAGTGTAAGGTGAAGAGTGTGACCGACACGGAGATAATGTGCGACACGGAGCCAGCAATGAATGTCGATCAGCTCTGGAGTGATTACAGTGAGTAGGAGCTGTTGATTTGTCTGTTCGTCTGACTTCTTCTTCTTTGTACATATAATGTGTTATTGTGGCTAGAAATGTTTCAGTGAAAAAAATCAAACGCTAACTTAGAATATGTCGTGTTTTTTTGGGTAAATTTCTATTGATCCCGTTTGATGCGACAAGGAAAAGGCTCTTATCAGGAAAGGAATAAGAATATGTAAGTAGAATATGCCAATTAAAGAATAATTTGAATAAAACCAACATTCCACGAATTCCCCTTTCAGCTGGATCCCCCTCATGTGTGGAATCCAAACCCACGGGTTACGTGAAAACAGCCCAAGATGTCCACAACATGTACCGGAGAAGACACTCGAGCACCCCTGATATCTGTTTCTCTGACTCAGTAGCTAAAAGTGCTGCCTCCTGGGCTGACCACCTCGCTCAGAACAACGTCTTCAAGTCTAGTTCTACTAGGTACTGTTAAGAGAGGGGCTTTCTGCTAGTATTGTTGAATTTTAACCATTGTAAGTCATGCGATCACCATTGATTATTCCAATTTATAATATTATCTTAAATTCTTAACGTCAAGCAGAACCTAAAACTTTGTCAAATTTTATTAATTTGTAAATTAGAAATTCTACCTTCAGTAACCGAGAGAACCGAGGAGAGAATCTGATGATATTCGAACACTGGGACCTGAAGAGTGACGAAGCGTACATGAGGGATGCTATATCCGCCTGGTACGCCGAGGGCAGCAATTTCAACCCTGAAGACCCGTCAAATACAATGAGATACGCCCAGGTAGGTAACCTAGCAACCATTTCTATTACTGGTAGGTAACCTAGCAACCATTGCTATTACTGGTGGGTCTCAATCTGCCCCACGTTTGTTCACATTTTAAATGAATCGTTCCATTACTTTGGGGATCAAAGCCTTTCTAAAAATTGAACAGACTTTCTCTTTGCCAACTCGTAATATGTATTTTATGTGTATAATGTGCACTGTCTCAGATGTTGTGGAAACTATCTGATCAAGTTGGGTGTGCCATCACTAAAAAGAGAGCATCGTCCACTGAGAAGTACAAGATCTACATAGTCTGCCACTATGCTCCCGCCGGGAACACTGAGGGGAAGTTTGGTGACTATGTCAAACAGTTCGGTAAGTCCCAGTCGACATAATACCTTCACCCGTACAAACCCTGATTTATTATGTCCCGATATACCGCGGAAAATCACGATTTACCGTGACATTCAGTCTTTTACCTTTTATGTTAACAGTTTCGTGAGTCCCATCCAACATAATACTTTGTCTACTGTCATTGCTTTATAAGTATCCGGGATGAAATGTAACCACTGAATCGTTTATATCCAACTCGGTATTTTTGTTTACTTGGATTCTAACTGCATTCTCTGTGGTTGCTATGGGCCATCTAACTTCCAAGATTCGACTAATTGAAGATTATGCGAATATGCAGCATGAAATCAAGAAGGGAGGGTTGTTTCTCCAGTGACCAGATCACAACTTAATAAGTTTCTGGAGAGTTCCAGGGTCTCGTAGTTATCTGAATTAGTTTCAGTTCATTACAGCACCAAACTAAGTCTCATTACATCCATCAATTAGTGACAGGGACATAAGTAGCGGTTCTCCTACGTGAATGGTTGATTAAAACAGAATAACAGAATAATTGGCATCCATTTTGTTTTCCTGTAAATGAAATGCGACAACTAAATTTCATCAAAGACTTACCAAAGTACAAAAATTTAACAAAACTTGTCTAGAAGGTGCTGCAAGTTTCTTTTCTCTAGGATCAAATTCTCTCTATGATCAAATTCTAACATGGCCCCCTATCCGATTTAGTCCACAATATTTCGCGACCAAACTGAACCATGGGTAGAAAAAACATTAACCTTGTAACTGTGTTGCCTGCACAAGAGCAACTGTAACTGCACAGTGCACATCCAATTTGAACAAACTGATCTGCACATATTGTAAGTTGTCTGTACACTAAACCTTTCTCCTCTAGACACAGAGCACCACCGAGCAACATCAGCTCTACACATGACATTGTCATGGTAACACGTGACATTGTCATGGTAACACATGACATTGTCATGGTAACACGTGACATTGTCATTGTAACATGTGACATTGTCATGGTAACACGTGACATTGTCATGGTAATACCTTTCTCCTCCAGACACAGAGCACCACAGAGCAACATCAGCTCTACACATGACATTGTCATGGTAACACGTGACATTGTCATGGTAACACGTGACATTGTCATGGTAACACGTGACATTGTCATGGTAACACGTGACATTGTCATGGTAACACCTTTCTCCTCCAGACACAGAGCACCACAGAGCAACATCAGCCCTGTTCTCCGAAAGTGCAGCAGTTAACGTCTACCTCGACTCTCGCAAAGCTACCGTCACCAAATCTGCACCATCCTCTGGTAAGATATTGGCTATTTCTTGATCTTTGTGCTTAAACCTGATCAATTGCAGTACAAATTGCTTGTTCACTGATTAGAATATGAAGTCATTGTTGTACATGATTCGACACGAATTCTGTCTAAAAAGCTTCAAATTTAACATTTCTGTGTATTTCTGTATATTTATGATAACTGCTCCTGACTGTGCCCCTCTAATTTAACCCCCCCTCAGCTCCTGACTGTGTCCCTCTAATATAACCCCCCCCCTCAGCTCCTGACTGTGCCCCTCTAATATAACCCCCTCAGCTCCTGACTGTGCCCCTCTAATATAACCCCTTCCCCCCTCAGCTCCTGACTGTGCCCCTCTAATATACCCCCCTCTCAGCTCCTGACTGTGCCCCTCTAATTTAACCCCCTCCCCCTCAGCTCCTGACTGTGCCCCTCTAATATAACCCCTTCCCCCTCAGCTCCTGACTGTGCCCCTCTAATATACCCCCCTCTCAGCTCCTGACTGTGCCCCTCTAATTTAACCCCCTCCCCCTCAGCTCCTGACTGTGCCCCTCTAATATAACCCTCCCCCCTCAGCTCCTGACTGTGCCCCTCTAATATACCCCCCTCTCAGCTCCTGACTGTGCCCCTCTAATTTAACCCCCTCCCCCTCAGCTCCTGACTGTGCCCCTCTAATATAACCCTCCCCCCTCAGCTCCTGACTGTGCCCCTCTAATATAACCCCCCCCCCCTCAGCTCCTGACTGTGCCCCTCTAATATAACCCCCCTCAGCTCCTGACTGTGCCCCTCTAATTTAACCCCCCCTCAGCTCCTGACTGTGCCCCTCTAATATAACCCCCCCTCAGCTCCTGACTGTGCCCCTCTAATTTAACCCCCCCCCCCTCAGCTCCTGACTGTGCCCCTCTATCCGGTACTGTAAGCGGGTGTTCTGACTCTAATCCAGCTGCTGCTCAGGGCGACTTCTCGTGAGTAACACACCTCTTTACACAGCAGGGTGTCATAATTATGGGCGCGTAGACAATTTTGCGTAAAATTTTGGGAATTTTAGCTTACCCAAGCTTTTAGAAACGATTATTACTTGACTTCTGAGTGTCAGTTTCCTATGGAGTCTTGATCATTTAAGAAATAATCCTTCATACTACAGTTCAGTCTAAAAATGAAGTCCGAAAGAAGTTAAATTTTGTCGATAATCACGACGAAAGAGAAAAATTTGGATTATTGGACTTGAAGCCTTCGGCTGCATCCCCTAAATTCCGGGATGCGTCCGCCTGACTATATTTTATTGCGTCAGTTAGAGGAGAAAGAGAGCTTTTATAAAATCTATAGTTTTCTATATGTTTCGCTATCGCCTGAAGAGCTGTGCACTTTAGTCTAAAGAATAATTTCAGAAAAAATTCACCGAAAAAAATTACACATAAAAACCCTTACTCCTTCGTAAATCTAACCAAGTATGGAATCGACCCTTTAAATAACGGCCTAAATTATGGGTTTTGAGGTACATCAACACAAAATTCTGAAATTAATAAAAATTTCAGACGATTATCTACAGACCAGTTTTTGAATTTTGTAATTTAGATATTCAGAAGTAAAGTTATGACCCGGTGCTGTATGTGTTACGTGATCTTTAACCTTGTGGTTCTTTGCTATACAACTATTTAAGAAATCACTTGCTAGAAAAGTTATTAGATTACAAGTTATTAGATTGCAATTCTCGTATCCTGAGTCAGTTGTTTACTTTATAATCTCAATAATGTTTTAGTGATTTATATTATTATATCTATATTATGTATATATACGAGTCTTCTACAATATTGCATTTTGTGTGTGAGTTATAACCTTTGATAGATAATGATTAATGTATAATATGTAAGTAAACATTGGCTGGCACTTAAGGAAAGGTCAAAAAGTAAGCCCAAGAAATTTGTCATCTAGCCTTTTGCGATCAACAATAATATTGTACATCAAATGGATCAATATCCCGTCCAATCTCAAATTTAGTTTTATTCCTGAGATTTTGTCTCTTCTTTAACCGTTTTTCTTTTCTTTTTCTTTCAAGTCACGCTCATTGTTATCGCTTTCTATTTTATCTCTCTTACAAATAAGGTCTGGGTTGTCTCCATTGTCTCCAGGTATTAGAACGTAATCTTTAAATTTCATCTCAACACATTCTTCACACTTTTTAAGGAATTTTCCCAAAAACACGAGGTGTCTGCCTTTACCCATTTCCCGTGTAGTCTGGAGATCCAGGGGAACCTTCCTTCCGCACATAGTCGCACTGAAGTCAGAACGCTTTGGCATGACATCATTTGACTTTGGAAAGTCTTCAAAATATTCGTATATCCTTCCCAGCTTGAAGTATCTTGCATTGAATGTGATGTAAAACTTTTTTAATCCAACGTGTATTTCGATGTTGTAGAATTGCAGAAAAGGAGGGTCATTGTTGTGGCAAAAAACAGCAGCGGCTTGGTTTCTAGAACATGGCACATGAGTTTCCGTCAGTATGGAGCAAGTGTCAGCAATTGAAATATTTTCGGTCGCGTTCAGCATCTGTGGGCCCAGGGTGGCATTTGTATGTTCAGTATCTTTGCCAAGGTTGGTATGTGCCTGCCCAGGATGGTGTGTGAGACTAGCTGCACGGTAACAGTGGTACCGTAGTGGACAACTCCAAATTTCCGAATTCCCCTCTCTATCAGTATCATCCATTTTTCATTTTCTATCGCAACCTGATCGATTTCGTTTGCGCGAAGTCTCAACTTTAATGTTTCCTCATTCCGTCCCATCAATATGTCCCCAAAAGTAAGTTTTCTACTTTCAACACTTATGGAGGTTCTACGACCAGTTTTAAACCCGTGCAATTGACATAAAGCAATGGCGGTACGATCATTAAATTCGTCATCGCGTATGGGTCGATAATCGCTGCTGATCACCATGAAGGCACCTCGCTCGTCACGTTTCATCAAGTACATCATAAGTTGTGCTAGCTGTCTAGAAGACTTCTCCGACATGTCATTGTTGATCATAAATTCCTCCGTACAAATCATGGGATATCAGAGGAGTTCTTAAGGTATTCATGTCTCCGTGTGACTGTGAGACGTTGCTGGGAAGACTTCTTTGACAATTGCAGGACTCATCATATTGAGGAGAATATGTGAACTTAAACGTTTTTGGGTAATACATTTCGAGGGTATTATACTTTCGCATACCACCCACAATATACCAATCACCAAGTCTTCCATCGTTCTCGTTATCCACCGCCGCTTTCCATCTGGACGGCTTCTCCCGCCTTTTACTCCCTTCTATGTTCACGAACAGAAAAATCAATAAAAGCACTGTCAATCACACTGTCTGAGTTGAAGATACAGCGATCGTCCGGAGTACAACACAAGTATTTAGCGAAGGAAATATGTAGTTACAAGTTAAATTAAACTTGAGCTCGATCTTAATAGAGTAGTGTGGACAACAAGCATCGATTTATTTCTATCAGGATATTTGTTTTGTTCTCAAACAAACACGGCTACCAGATAAAATAAAAGCTCGCTTTTATTTGAATGAGATGAACATATTTAAAGTCCACAAATGAACCTTAATAGAGGGTTAGTCAGACGAGTTGTTACTTTAGATAATGGTTGAAGTTATAAGTTGTAAGTACCTGATACAAATATCGCTCCATATAGAAAATACGTGATTTCGAAAGAACTTCTTACCAGTGCAGCAGCTATTATGTAATAGAGGTGCCGCCCCCGCTAAATGTTTTGTGTCAAACTAACGTTCAATTAGCGCCCCTTTATGGGGTCGTTACTTCACTAGGAGATGCAGGTAGAGAGCGCGCCTCAAATGGTAACATCGTGGTTATGGCTAAAACAGATCTTACTTCGCATTAACATGGAGAAGGGAGGGAGGAAGCCAATAGGAATGCGCCATGCATCTTGCTGTTAAAACTTGAAGAATCTTATATCAAATAAAGGGCTCGATGGTGCTGTACGATTGTCTATTTAGAGCATCCAATTCCAAATAATCTTTCGAATTACATTATAGATGTAATACTATGTGAGTTTATGATTCGTATTTTCTTCAGGTTCTCATATTACTCCTGTTCTACTCCCAAGATTACCAATGTTACAAGACAGGTGTTATGGGATGAAACTATCACTATTGATGGAAAAGGTACTGTAGATTTACCGCTGAGTTTGAGGGAAGGGGGGGGGGGGGTGATAGTTCACATAATTATGTTTTGCCCCATTTGGGGAAAGAAAATGGCGGTGGTAATTCGAGATTTGCGGTGAATTCGGGTTTTAATGTATTACGTTTATCACAGTTCAAATAAATTTTAGATTTTGAACGTACCCAAGAAAACATTTCAACTTTAATGCGACTCATAAATAATATACCAATCCGGATTTTACTCGAGGTACTTGCAATGACAATATTAAATATATAAAAACTGTCAGTTCTAGACTTGGTTAAACATCACTTGGTACTGACTTGGACCACGCCCATATTTTTCACCAATGTTTAACAGGCAAAATTCTCTAAATCGTTAATTTAATCACAAAGGAGTATGGAAGGAGTTCTAAATGTGTGCTCCTCTAATATAAACAGTAGGAAATGGTAGCCTGGATAGTCATATTTATGCTTTTCATGCAAAGTTACAACAAAGTCTTCATGTTATATATCTAGGGTTTCATATAATTGTGCTTAATGCTACAAAGATAAGTTGACCGTCTGAAATATAATGTAAAACCAGACAGCGTCGCTCGTCAATGTCGTCCAATTTAAACATGTTAAAGAGCGGGTGGAAGTTGATAGCATTTTGTGATGAACGTTAGTTAAAGCTTTAAACAGATTAACCATCACATAACGGCTGCACCTGTTCAGTTACTGTCACGTTTAAAACTACAGAACTTTTAACTTGTTAAGCTTTTAAGGATATAATCTTAACTTTAATCTGACGCGCCTCCTAAAAAATGGCTGCACTGATCAACTCGGTCATTTTACTATCATACTAACCAATAGTGTTCACTATGGTAACTAGTAGTGTAACTATGGTAACTAGTAGTGTAACTATGGTAACTAGTAGTGTTCACTATGGTAACTAGTAGTGTAACTATGGTAACTAGTAGTGTTACTACCATACTAACCACTAACGTCTACTATGCACCTTTATATGCTGTATAACTAGGACCCAAGAAGACTCGGGAGATATCATGTAGCAGTAGTAGTTTATAGGAGAGATAGCTATAAGTATTTACAACTGAAACGGAGCCTGCTTGATATTATGTAGCTAGGGTCTGGACTAGCTATAAGTATTTACAACTGAAACGGAGCCTGCTTGATATAATGTAGCTAGGGTCTGGACTAGCTATAAGTATTTACAACTGAAACGGCGCCTGCTTGATATCATGTAGCTAGGGTCTGGACTAGCTATAAGTATTTACAACTGAAACGGCGCCTGCTTGATATCATGTAGCTAGGGTCTGGACTAGCTATAAGTATTTACAACTGAAACGGAGCCTGCTTGATATTATATAGCTAGGGTCTGGACTAGCTATAAGTATTTACAACTGAAACGGAGCCTGCTTGATATCATGTAGCTAGGGTCTGGACTAGCTATAAGTATTTACAACTGAAACGGAGCCTGCTTGATATAATGTAGCTAGGGTCTGGACTAGCTATAAGTATTTACAAATGAAACGGAGCCTGCTTGATATCATGTAGCTAGGGTCTGGACTAGCTATAAGTATTTACAAATGAAACGGAGCCTGCTTGATATTATGTAGCTAGGGTCTGGACTAGCTATAAGTATTTACAAATGAAACGGAGCCTGCTTGATATCATGTAGCTAGGGTCTGGACTAGCTATAAGTATTTACAAATGAAACGGAGCCTGCTTGATATCATGTAGCTAGGGTCTGGACTTGCTATAAGTATTTACAAATGAAACGGAGCCTGCTTGATATCATGTAGCTAGGGTCTGGACTTGCTATAAGTATTTACAACTGAAACGGAGCCTGCTTGATATCATGTAGCTAGGGTCTGGACTAGCTATAAGTATTTACAACTGAAACGGAGCCTGCTTGATATCATGTAGCTAGGGTCTGGACTTGCTATAAGTATTTACAAATGAAACGGAGCCTGCTTGATATCATGTAGCTAGGGTCTGGACTTGCTATAAGTATTTACAACTGAAACGGAGCCTGCTTGATATCATGTAGCTAGGGTCTGGACTAGCTATAAGTATTTACAAATGAAACGGAGCCTGCTTGATATTATGTAGCTAGGGTCTGGACTTGCTATAAGTATTTACAACTGAAACGGAGCCTGCTTGATATTATGTAGCTAGGGTCTGGACTAGCTATAAGTATTTACAAATGAAACGGAGCCTGCTTGATATTATGTAGCTAGGGTCTGGACTAGCTATAAGTATTTACAACTGAAACGGAGCCTGCTTGATATCATGTAGCTAGGGTCTGGACTTGCTATAAGTATTTACAACTGAAACGGAGCCTGCTTGATATTATGTAGCTAGGGTCTGGACTCTGGACTAGCTATAAGTATTTACAACTGGAACGGCGCCTGCTTGATATCATGTAGCTAGGGTCTGGACTAGCTATAAGTATTTACAACTGAAACGGAGCCTGCTTGATATTATGTAGCTAGGGTCTGGACTAGCTATAAGTATTTACAACTGAAACGGAGCCTGCTTGATATTATGTAGCTAGGGTCTGGACTAGCTATAAGTATTTACAACTGAAACGGAGCCTGCTTGATATTATGTAGCTAGGGTCTGGACTAGCTATAAGTATTTACAAATGAAACGGAGCCTGCTTGATATCATGTAGCTAGGGTCTGGACTAGCTATAAGTATTTACAACTGAAACGGAGCCTGCTTGATATCATGTAGCTAGGGTCTGGACTAGCTATAAGTATTTACAAATGAAACGGAGCCTGCTTGATATCATGTAGCTAGGGTCTGGACTTACTATAAGTATTTACAACTGAAACGGAGCCTGCTTGATATTATGTAGCTAGGGTCTGGACTAGCTATAAGTATTTACAACTGAAACGGAGCCTGCTTGATATCATGTAGCTAGGGTCTGGACTTGCTATAAGTATTTACAACTGAAACGGAGCCTGCTTGATATTATGTAGCTAGGGTCTGGACTCTGGACTAGCTATAAGTATTTACAACTGGAACGGCGCCTGCTTGATATCATGTAGCTAGGGTCTGGACTAGCTATAAGTATTTACAACTGAAACGGAGCCTGCTTGATATTATGTAGCTAGGGTCTGGACTAGCTATAAGTATTTACAACTGAAACGGAGCCTGCTTGATATTATGTAGCTAGGGTCTGGACTAGCTATAAGTATTTACAACTGAAACGGAGCCTGCTTGATATTATGTAGCTAGGGTCTGGACTAGCTATAAGTATTTACAAATGAAACGGAGCCTGCTTGATATCATGTAGCTAGGGTCTGGACTAGCTATAAGTATTTACAACTGAAACGGAGCCTGCTTGATATCATGTAGCTAGGGTCTGGACTAGCTATAAGTATTTACAAATGAAACGGAGCCTGCTTGATATCATGTAGCTAGGGTCTGGACTTACTATAAGTATTTACAACTGAAACGGAGCCTGCTTGATATCATGTAGCTAGGGTCTGGACTAGCTATAAGTATTTACAAATGAAACGGAGCCTGCTTGATATCATGTAGCTAGGGTCTGGACTAGCTATAAGTATTTACAACTGAAACGGAGCCTGCTTGATATTATGTAGCTAGGGTCTGGACTAGCTATAAGTATTTACAACTGAAACGGAGCCTGCTTGATATTATGTAGCTAGGGTCTGGACTAGCTATAAGTATTTACAACTGAAACGGAGCCTGCTTGATATTATGTAGCTAGGGTCTGGACTAGCTATAAGTATTTACAAATGAAACGGAGCCTGCTTGATATCATGTAGCTAGGGTCTGGACTAGCTATAAGTATTTACAACTGAAACGGAGCCTGCTTGATATCATGTAGCTAGGGTCTGGAATAGCTATAAGTATTTACAAATGAAACGGAGCCTGCTTGATATCATGTAGCTAGGGTCTTGACTTGCTATAAGTATTTACAAATGAAACGGAGCCTGCTTGATATCATGTAGCTAGGGTCTGGACTTGCTATAAGTATTTACAACTGAAACGGAGCCTGCTTGATATTATGTAGCTAGGGTCTGGACTAGCTATAAGTATTTACAAATGAAACGGAGCCTGCTTGATATTATGTAGCTAGGGTCTGGACTAGCTATAAGTATTTACAAATGAAACGGAGCCTGCTTGATATCATGTAGCTAGGGTCTGGACTAGCTATAAGTATTTACAACTGAAACGGAGCCTGCTTGATATAATGTAGCTAGGGTCTGGACTTGCTATAAGTATTTACAAATGAAACGGAGCCTTCTTGATATTATGTAGCTAGGGTCTGGACTAGCTATAAGTATTTACAAATGAAACGGAGCCTGCTTGATATCATGTAGCTAGGGTCTGGACTAGCTATAGGTATTTACAACTGAAACGGAGCCTGCTTGATATCATGTAGCTAGGGTCTGGACTAGCTATAGGTATTTACAACTGAAACGGAGCCTGCTTGATATTATGTAGCTAGGGTCTGGACTAGCTATAAGTATTTACAACTGAAACGGAGCCTGCTTGATATCATGTAGCTAGGGTCTGGACTAGCTATAAGTATTTACAACTGAAACGGAGCCTGCTTGATGTTATGTAGCTAGGGTCTGGACTTGCTATAAGTATTTACAACTGAAACGGAGCCTGCTTGATATTATGTAGCTAGGGTCTGGACTAGCTATAAGTATTTACAACTGAAACGGAGCCTGCTTGATATCATGTAGCTAGGGTCTGGACTTGCTATAAGTATTTACAAATGAAACGGAGCCTGCTTGATATCATGTAGCTAGGGTCTGGACTAGCTATAAGTATTTACAACTGAAACGGAGCCTGCTTGATATCATGTAGCTAGGGTCTGGACTTGCTATAAGTATTTACAACTGAAACGGAGCCTGCTTGATATCATGTAGCTAGGGTCTGGACTAGCTATAAGTATTTACAACTGAAACGGAGCCTGCTTGATATTATGTAGCTAGGGTCTGGACTTGCTATAAGTA